CAACATAATTTAGTTAGTTGACTTATTTTTGAAATTATCTCTTAAATATACACTTATTCTAGAATTCCTTTGTGCGGAATCAATGTCCAAAGGAATTATGGTTTTGCATCATTGATGATTTTCAAATAAGAAATTTAAAACAATAGTGATTATCCAATTTTATTATTAGAATAAGAGAAATGCTGTGTAGCAATTATTGCAATAGCATTGAGAAAGACTTTAAACAGTCAGTGTATAGTCAATGGGGTAGACTCCAGACTGACTTGCCATTTGTTCTAAAAAAAAAATTCATCAAGGGATAGTAACTAGAATCTGAATGATTTACTCGGAATCAAAAATTTTACATTAGAGAAAATCCAAGATCAAAAAAATATTTATTTTTAATTTAAATATTTATACGTAACTTTTAAGAGACTTAATTTAGAAGCTCAAAAAATGCATGTGACCTTGATGATACAAAAAAAATTTTTTTTACAAACAATTCTAGTTTGAACAATCTTTTTATGAAAAAAGAATTTTTATTTTGCATGACCGTAATAACAATGCTTAGCATGGTATTATTCATTAAGGTAACTATTAAAAAAAAAAAAACACATGTCAAAGAAATCAATCACTGTTTTATTTCCCATTAAAAAGGTGTTTAAGTTGGCTTGATTAAGTTAATTATTATTGGTTTTATACTTTTTAATTAATCTTTAATGCAATTTAGTAGTCGGCTTAACATTGAAAATGGATTCATGCAATTTTGCTTAAATGATACTCGGCATTAACAAATTTATCATAAAAAGACTGATTTAAAGAGATTTAAGTGTAATAGAGAAGATGTCATATAAGAGTTAATTATGAGATTTGGAATAAAAGATTATGAAATTTTTGATTATGAAAAAACAATCTAACTTCCCCATGAAAAGATTTTAAGTATAAACTATGAGAAGAAGCACACTAACAGTTCTAATTTATCGGATAAAAAATAAATGTTTTCTAATTTCATAATTCTTGCCTCACTTATCCCATAAAAATTACGCTAAAGTGGTATAATTTAAAACAAGATATCTCCATTTATATTACTCATTTAGTTCTAAAATTTTCACATAATGTTCCTGAAATATGCAAAGAGGTTATGAACCAGAATCATGTATTGAAAATGTATGGAACATTTTAAAATTATTTTTTTATAGATTTATTAAAAAATTTAACAAAATTGGCAAGAAAAAAAGGTATTATACTTATATAATATTATATAATTTATATTATATAATATACTTATTATATAATATATTATATATTATATAATATACTTTAACATCATATTTATTTGTAATTCTGGTTCATTACCTAAGTCAAACAATAACAAAAGCACCCTGAAAATTTCAAGTTAGTATAAGGTCGCAATCTGAAAATATCATGTTTTAAAAATTACATTTTGCTAAAAATGGCGTTTTGAGAAAAATAAAAGAAAAAATTCGTTACATTACAAAAAAACGCATGAGCCCATTAAAAACACTCACTCACAAAAACATAAAGCACATAATAAAGAATAAGCTGAAGTATAAAT